CTTTGACGTCATTTGCGATCAACCTATCATAGCCTTTGGAAAAAATGGTCACAAATGAACTCATATAAGTTATAAGAACGTAATAAAAGTTTGGTGACGATCGGCGCAGCGGTTCTGGAGATACATTGAAAAATCTGGAGTGGTGGAGGAGGGGGGCAAAATAGCTCCCCCCCCCCCACCAGGCGCGGGTTTAACCCAATTTACTGGTTCCGCACCTTTTCATTCGACGCACAATAATAAATATTTATGGTAGCGCTTTACAATGTGCTCACACAATACTTATTTGTGTGCGTAATGAGCAATGTAGGTACTATAGTTCGTTTTTTTTTTTCAAAAGGACGCTGGCTCCAAGTTCCTTATCGAAGCTCTCACGTGAGTTTTGGCAGCTTCAGCGTCTGGCCAAGAATTTCTTACCGAAAAAATATTCGATTTCAAATTGTGCACGGTAAGTACCTGGAAATTGTGTCTTGAAAAATTAGCATACTATGATGACGTCACTGGTGGCAGCAGGCACTCAATGTTCGTACGATGGGACAAAGTTTCGACGAATTTGGGGGGAAACTTCGTTTTTCACTGTTGCCGAGGTTATAATCGAGTAAGCGGTTTCGTCCATGATAGTTATACGCTACATTGCAAAACAAGTTAGACAGCATGACGTCACCACTGTTCTCAAATCTGGTTTCAAAACGCACATATGGAAATTTTCGGGAATAATTCACATGTTAAAATAAGGCGACGTTCGAGTTTTTCAAGTTCAGTTTTTGCCTGTTTTGCTCGCTAAAACGCGTGCTTTTTCGAAAAACATACTTGGAGCCAGAGTCCTTTTGAAAAAAAACGAACTATAGGTACCTACTCAGCATCTTTTTTAATGTCGAGTAAAAATGCAAAGATGTGAAGAAAACGTGCATACACACGTCCCCCGGACGAGTGTGGATGCCTACTTTCAATGCCGAGTGGCTGCCAAAATTTCACTTCTTGCAGATAGACAAGACTTTCACAACGCAAATCGAGCGTGCCTATCCAATGGACCGGAGTGATCACTGCAGCTGGTCGTCTTTGCGAAAGTGAGCTCACGACAAACCGCGTCCATGGATAGCTCAGTATCGGAGGTGCAGCGGCTCGTGCAGGCGGCGCTGACCCGACACCGGCCAGAAGGGGCACGATAACTGCTCGAGCGTGGCGGTTCGCTTTCTTACTGCGATAGCACGCGAGGCCGCAGTACCTACCTTTGATTTATGATATCCACACGGTCATGCTTCATCACTAGCCGTCACTGGGGACAGGTTCGGAGAGTGTTGGTGGTTCTGGGTGGGGCCAGTTCCGGAAGCTGAAGCTCAGTCCACGCAGGATCGCCAATCGTGCTGCACATGCCTTCGAGCCTTATGGGGGATGGGCGGGGCTGTTTGGCAAAGATAGGTGCTGATTGCACCGGAAGGACGGGCGACCGAGTCCTGAAGGCCAACCGAGCTTCAAGTAGGCGTCAGACATGCAAGGCGAAAGCAAACAAGATACCGATAAAATTATCTTGAATGGTGCAAAGTTCGCTTCGTTAAAGCAGTATGTTGATTCTTTTTGATAAACCTAGGGCTTAAAATTTGATAGGCCGAAATGAAGATGCTAGAAGCTTAGCCCGCGCCCCACTGGGGGGGGGCGGCTCTCCCGTTTTTCTGCAATAACTTCCAAACCCCTTGACATATCGACGCCAAACTTTCAGTACCTTCGGCTGCATCAATTTGACACCTTGTGTCAAAATTTGAACTTCGTAGCTACCATAGGTCGGCCGGAAATGACGTCAGAGTGACGTCATGTTCTGCCGATTTCGACGCAAAACATTGAACCACGGCAATCGCTCTCAAGAGCTCAGTTTTTTAGCTAAACCCAATTTCTTTGCATGAAAGGACTCAGAATTGACTGCGCTATCAAACTGCTATCTCGGATTTTCAAAATTTTGAAAAGTTTCGAAAATTGTATATAATAATATTCAAAATTTATATTTTTATATTTTTTTTCAAAAAGTTTCTGACTTTTCGAAAAAAAAAAACGGAATATATGGGACAGAACGCATGCTTATGACTAACTCTAGCAAGTTTTAGTTAAATATCTTTAACCCTCGCCGGCCGAGGGGGGGCGGGTGCCGCCCCCCCCCCCATAGGGTTTTTTCGCGATAGCTCCGAACACGCTGGCGATAGAGAGCTGAAACTTGGCATACCTGACCTTTGATCCAAGCCGGATCTTTTGACACCAACCGCATTTTTGGGTCAGGTCAGGTCACTGACCTATGACGTCATAAGTGAACCTCTGCACGGTCTTCAGATGTCGCAACTTCGCAACGCCCTCACTGCCAGAGGAGATGTCACAGGGAAATGAAACTTGCAGGATCTAGTATCCATTATGAGTCCCACAACTTGTATATCTCGGATTTTTCCTAAACGTCATATGAGGTCAGGTCATTTTCGTGACCTCACCATTATAAGTCAATGGGGAAAAATTCAAACTGCTATTCTGGCGCCGGGAACGATCTCCAACTATCTCAAGCACACAGAATCGTGATTTGATGCACTCCTTGCAAGGTTAGATGCGTCACTTTTGCAATGTTGACCTTGCGTGACGTCATTTATGACGTCATCAAGGTCATATTAGTTTTTCGTCAATAACTCTTGATCAAATTGAGCTAGCGAGTCGGGAAAGCCACCAATGGACTCAGGAAGACCTGCCGAATCGAATGATATGCGACATGACCCCTTTCGACCAACTTCGTGACCTGGGGGTGCTGACCTGACCTTGACCTGAGGTCAACACCCCAAATTGACCTGACCCGGACAAAAAGTATATCATTCGACGCGCCTGAGCGAGACGAACACGATGCTGCCAAAATCGGCGCTCTGCGGCCGTTTTTTGCGAAGTTATTCACCAAAAACTGAACCGTACCTTGGGGCACTTGACCTGACCTCAGAGGTCACCGGTTGACCTAGGACCTTAAAATCGGGTACCAATCTCTGCGTCTCGTAACGGCGCACACGCTCGTTTTTTTCCGCGACGCGCTAGCTCCACCAGGGGCGAAACGGCGAGGGGGGGTCGTACCCGCCCCCCCCCCCTCGGCCGGCGCGTATGTAGAAAACCAATAGGTCCGGCGAGGGTTAAAAATGGCTAAGTTATACGCATTATTGCAAAAAATTCACAATTATTAATTTTTCAAATCAATTTTTCAGTACGTATTTAACATCGTACACCAATATAAATAGCACCATCGTGTTCCTGAGCTCACACTGCATCGCATACACACCTTCTTTGTTGAAAAATTTAAACTTCAAAATTTGACCTTTTTTGACCTGAAAGTGACCTGACCTAAGCTAAATTCGACTCAAAATGACCTCGAATGACACAGACGACATCAAATGCGAAATCTATGGCCTAAATGGACCATAAAACATGTGTCACGTGACCGACGCATGATATAATATTTTCGTGAGGTCTGTGATGACCTGACCCTAACCTGAAAATCAAAGTACAAGTTTGGTACCCTCAAGGAATCTAGAGCATCTGTTCACGAGTGTGCAAACAAAAAATGAGCCTGATCTGGCTTGTAAGACGGCGGCCAGAGCCCAAAATGTGAACAAGCCGAAATGCTAATAATTTTTACTTTGACCTGACCTGTGACGTCATCGGTGACCTCGAGGTCAATGAAATTAGGTTTCGCTCGACAGTTTTTCCGGGGCTATCAGACGCCGTTTGAATTTTGACGATCGGCCCAGTAGTTTCGGAGTTAGGAGGGGGGCTATGGAGAGCCCCCCCCCCCCAGTAGGGCGTGTTATACGCAGACCCCAGTGGGGCGCGGGTTAAATCAATCGTTGCCTAATATTTTTACTGAGCCTATAATAAAGTGTTTAGACAATAATTGTGCACACTTTCTGACAGTGATAATTAAAGGAACTCTTGGTCAAGTGCCATGATACATATTTACCTACACAAGATGAGAAGTGAGAAACCAATATGCTGTGATACTGAGGTCTGAGAAGTACTCCACCCTATTACGATTAAGCACGGATGACGCAACAGATGAGTTAACGATAGACTTAAGCAACTTCTCCGTCCCTCATAAGGACCAAATTACCCACACGATGCTTTAAATTCAAACACCCAGATTGTAGATGTTTTTAGTTCTAATATGTCGTCCTAATATAGCTATAAATCGAGAAACGCCACAGAGTTTTTTAAAAATAATTTTTCAGAGTAGGTAGGTACGTCAACGAATTCAGTCGTCTGCATTAAATAATCTGTCATTCTAAAAACAGTTTCGTCATGATACAAGTGAATTAATCGAAGTACCTACTCGGCCCATGACTTGCTTCAGCTCATTTCTATTAGCCGTCCCTACGCGTCTCGGCCTATCTCCCACATATACGCAGCTGTCCTGACGGGCGGCCGATGCCACCCCAGCGCCACCTACCACCGAGGGCGCCCCCTGACCGCACGGAGCGCTCACCGCCCACCTCCACCGAGGGCGCCCCCTGACCGCACGGAGCGCTCACTGCCCAGTGCCCACCTCCACCGAGGGCGCCCCTGACCGCACGGAGCGCTCAGCGCTGACTGCCAACGAGCGCTTTCTGACTTTTTCAGCGCCCTCTGAGCGTAGGTACTCCGTGGCCCTCACAGCGCCATCTGTGTGTGATCGCTACCGGTACCGACCCTTCGCTCCTATAGACATGACGACCTCGTCGCCAACGAATCTGTAATTCGTTCTTAGGCATGAGTGCTCAATGGGTCTTTGGTTATCATCTGGTTGTAACAAAAACGTTTAATTTGCAGATATATGTTTGAGTGTGTGCTCCGTTACCGCTGACAGACTCAATGTCCGCTGGCAGCTCACCTGCTCGCTGGCAAGCTCTACCCTGTTCGTTAGCAGTGCCCCAGTGACCCTAGCAGCTTCCCGACCATCACCCCGTCGTGTCTACATACAGTGTCCTGTGCTGAGTGCTCTGCCGCTGGGCGGGTGTACTCACGGCGCGACTGGGCGTTGAACATGGCCAGCTGGTCCCGGCCCGACAGCCCGTTGGGCGGCTCGGGCGGCGGGCTGCTGGGCGGCGGCGGTAGACGCTGCGGGCGCACCTGCTTCCCAGAGAGGTAGGCCTTCATCTCCTCGACCAGTTGCTGCGCAGACACCCGCAGACACTGCAGAAGGACATACAGATAGACGAAAGTCAGAGTGTCAGTACCGCCCGCAGACGTAGCAGCGGGGCAGAGTAAAGACGCCCGCAGACGTTCGAACTTCGAGAAGGACGAGAGCGGTCTTTCACAGAGATACAGGTCCACGAATTTAGGCAGTAGTTCAACAATACAATGCGTCGATGTGACAACATTTCAGAGCGTGAAGTTAGATATAGGTATCTGTCAGTGCCGTACCTGGAAGATGTGCATCTCGGGCGGGTTCATCGAGTGGCGACTCGGGTCCTCGGTGATGATGAAGATGAAGATGTTGTTGTACAGCTCCTTCGGGTCGTTGGAGGTGAAAGCGGTCGGCTCACGGATCAGGTGCATGGGAAACCGCTCCACCAGGTCCTGTCGGTAGACACAGAGTATAAGAAAATAAAACCTAGATAAAAACAATGTAACAGACATCTGCTGAGACCGGCTTTTTCTTCCGTTAGCAGGCGGCGGCGCCATTCCACGCCAGCTGATCAAATCTTGCGGCAGTCTGGGCAAGATTAGAGGGAAAAGTTGTGGCCGCCGGGCCGCCGGGAGGGAGCTGGCAGCGCTGCCGACGGTGCCCTTCAAGGTAATCAAGATCTCCGTCTGTTCCTCTGCAGGGTAATCAGACCTCAGCTCCTGTTAGGTCTTAATTACTCTCCCATGAACCACAGCCTGCGGGGTTGCATTAGGGGCAGAACCGCCAGTTTCCCCGCTCGGAGAGAGCGGCGGAGAGGAGGACAGAGGGCGGGAGTGGTCGTATCTGGGCGCACCAGCTGCGATACGCGCGCTCTCCGCGAGCTGCGGCGGGTCTGATACGGCACGTGTTGCCGCCAATGACACACGATATCGCGGAGGTCCGGCCTGACATCACAGAGCGCACAGGGGTGCCCCCAGCTCCCAGCGGTGTGTGGGGGGGGGGCGCACCTCCTCCGGTGACAGGGTAACATATGTCGGTACGACTACACTGGAGGAAAAAGAGAAATTCTTTTGGGGACGCAGAATATAAGGCATGCTGAGAACACTGAAGGAATATGAAACGGTTGGGTGCACATACGACCACCAGAGAAGTTGGCAGCTGACTGATTTATTACATTTTTGTAATGGTTAAAAAAACAAATTATACAATAACTAATAAGATAGGCAAAGTTCCCATGGAAAGAGAGGGACAGAGAGTGGGACAGGGAGTGAGGAGTAAGACGTCTTCATCTACACCCCTGCCACCCCTGCACGGGCCGCTGGCTAATCCACCGGGGACGGGTCACGAGTCTGCCACCTACGCAGGCCGCGCAGATAAGATAGGATGGACGCGGCGGCTTTTTATGACGCGTCTCCGCGGCGCTCAGCGCCATCAGAATCCTGCGCGCTGATACCGAGCGCGGTATTCGCGTGTTTGCTCAGCGTCAGCGTTGATCGCCGTTGTACGGAAACGCGGTGGGCTCAGCACGGATAGCGCGGTACCGGAACCCGACACAGATAGGACCCGGGCATCGTGCACTGACGGGATCGTCGTACCCGCGAAACGATCATACGTAAGGCGCGCATCTAAACGGATCTAAGTGCATGCATGTACATGGTTCTTGTCTCTAATAAGGACGTCTTATGGAAATCGCTATAACGAAGAGCTGTGGCAATGTCACATAGCGATCGATTCGACATTTGTACCCATATGATTTACGACCTCGATATCTTCGCGAATACCTGTTAGCAGTGTAGGGTCATGATACGTGTGCGATTACCTATAACTGAGCTGTAATTTTTATGTCGTAAATTGCTGATCTAATTCCTCAAATGAACGCAATCGCTAATGTAAAACATGGCACGAAATCAGGTAAAAGTAGGGTAGGATAATCTGTCGGTTCCCCTCAGTACCCGCAATGTCCGTCTATTTTCGCTCACGCCTGGGTGCGCTGCCGATAGCCATATTTGGTAATTAGAGGTGATAGCATCGAACGCACAGACAGGAGACATGGCATCCATGTAATTATATCGCCGGTAAACAACCGGGAAAGATAAATTTGAGGGCTTTCCAGATATGGTCGATTCCAAAAGGCTAAGTAAAAACAAGATGCCTAGCGACCTTTACCCTTCGATTATAGTCACGGTGAACAACGTGGTTGTAACCTTGCTATGATTATAACTAGAAAAATAACATACCTGTAGGTCATAGTGCCATATAAATAGTTTATAGCCAAGAAAACAGGGACCAAGACTTCACACCATAACAGTTATGGCAAGTACAGAGCGCTACTGATCACAGATGCAAATATAGGTATAGGTATGCTAAATCGGAACCGGACAGTCCGGACTAGTTCCTCCACCGTCCGCTCCCTGCTGACACCGCTAGTTCCAGCCAATCAGGTGACTCGACATAAGGTATAGGTGATATGAGATTCACTTCTAACCATCACATATCTTTGACGGACAATACCATGCACATCCACTCGATAATAACGTCCAATGACCTAGGTACAACCATAGAGATCTTATATAATACAAAAGATCTCTATGGGCACAACATCCGCCGAGCTATCCCCATGTTTTCCCAAGTGTTCCCAGCTCTTACAAACCGCATGAATGCATGCAGGGAACAATAAAAAATGGCGCAAGCCGCAGTTGGTATATGGCCCGATCCTTTTAAAAGTCCTACGCAGTCGCATCGTTCAAGGTACACAACTCCACACCGGCAGTGTCCCGGTCAATGTTGGCAAAATGGACTCCATCGGTCCGACACCTGCTCCACGTGCACCAGGAAATTCCACAGACGTGCCGCGATACGGGCTCGGCGCACGACAAAACTGACAGTTCTTCTAGCGCCTCACTGACCACAGGTATCTGGCGGTCAGGCCGCACCGACGACGAACAGACATTCCGAGTGGCCAAAATATCGGCGTCTGCACTGCAGCGACGTGAAATGTAGTTTTTTTGCGGCCTGAATGCGTCCTTAGCCGGCTTCCAAAATTCGGATTCACTTTGCTGACTCAAAGGGCATTAGGCACAGCAAACATATTCAGCGTTTTCAGTGTTTGCTCTCCTGCAAACCTTTTATCGTCAAAAAGTTGTTGCTAGGATGACCGCACTCGCTTCCAGTCATCTCACTTCATCCCCATACACTGCTCTTTCTCTCCCTCTCCCGGTTTCCTTAGACCTTTCGATAATCCCACCTGTTTAACCAGTTCCAGCGTTACATAATAGAAATTCGCAATGTGCAATGTGCATGCATATCGACTCTGAGCTCCCTTCCTGCCCATCCCCTCTCCCTCTCTCTCGCCCTCCCTGCTCTATGGTTGCTCTCACCCCGTTCTCGTGGTCGACGATGACCACCGACTGGTTGCGCAGCCGCAGCTCCATTTTCTGCGTCCAGATGCCGGTCGTCTTCTCCATCTGCAGTAGCCGGCGCATGCCGTCGCGCGGCCCCAGGGTACCCATCTCGGGCGACACGGTGAACGTGGCCAGGTGCTCCAGCAGGTACATGGCGCCCTCGTCCGGGGACTCTGCAGCGGAGAGAGGGGAGCGGGTCACTGTACCGGTCAGGTCACTGTGCCGGTCAGGTCAGGTCACTGAGTGGGGCAGCCAGGTCACTGTACAGGTCAGGTCAGGTCACTGTACCGGTCAGGTCACTGTACGCCCAGGTCAGGTCACTGTACGGGTCAGGTCAGGTCACTGAGTGGGCAGCCAGGAAACATAACGGTCAGGTCAGGCCATTACACCGGTCAGGTCACTGCACGGGTCAGGTCAGGTCAGGTCAGACGGGGTATTATACATTATACAAGGGACGCTGGTTAGCTTACTGAATCGGATACTGATGACGTACAGCTATACGAGTTACAGGTATTTTTCTCATGGGTACATGGCCTCTTATGGATATTTTTTTTGCGTTAATGTTCATAGTTTCATTTGAAATTCAATGAAAATTCATAAAATAAGTACAATATAGGTATGAAAACGTTTGTATTGGACAGCATCCACCAGGCCTGAATAATGAATGTGACTGTTTCTGAGCTGAACAAAATAACTTTATAAGTCATTAGTCAAGGCATTATTAAAGCGTACGCAACGTAATTCCAGCCATGCTCGACAAACATTGAATCCATTTATCCATCTTCATAACACTGCGCCAAATTAAACCGAACGAAATAAATACAGACGATATCACATCACAGCGTATGACAACATAGGTATTAGTTTAGTCTCAATTTCGCTTTTAAACCTTTTAACGGCATATCCTCGTCTGAGAATAAAGGCAGGATGTAGCCTACTGCTTTCCAGTCTGTCCTTGAGTTCGTCAAAAACAAAGAGTTCCTCTTTGGTGTAGCCTGGCGAGCCTTTTAGTGTGCTTCCTGGATGGAGCGAATATTGTCGTCGTCACCCAGGCACTTAGCACCGATTTTAGTCGTTCGAACGTCATCCGCCCGCGTCACGCAATTCGCACAGCTCGCAAATGCCAGGGTCGCGACCAATAAAAAACTCCTAGCTGCACTGAGTCCAGCGCGACAAAAAACCAAAACGGGTAGTCACCGTCGGATTCTGGCGGGACATGAGCGTGAGTAAATCGACTTCGTGATATTTCATAACGAGGAGCGAGGTATGTGTCTAATATTTGACATGTTCGAGCGGGTGAGAGCGATCAAATCAGCGATATCAGGACATGACTGCAACTATTCTGAGATTGACTTTGTTGAGAAAAAGGCGTCTAACTGTAAAACGCTTGCATTTAATAATTAAAAATGAATAAAAACTAATAAACGTCTTGATGACAATTCAGATCAACAAAAAGTGCCGAAAGATACGCCATCCTGATGGGTTTAGCGGCGACGTTAATCCGTAACTGGAATAAGTAGGTACGGTAAGGTACGGAGTCTATGCACTCACCTGTCCTCCGAACGCCATTGCTGGAGCGGCCCTCGCCGAAAGAGCCGTGCATGTCGGGCATGTAGCCGCCCACAGAGCTGCGGAATAGCGACAGAGATCAGACACGGCCGCCGCCCACAGAGCTGCGGAATAGCGACAGAGATCAGACACGGCCGTCGCCCACAGAGCTGCGGAATAGCGACAGAGATCAGACACGGCCGCCGCCCACAGAGCTGCGGAATACAAACAGAGATCAGACACGGCCGCCGCCCACAGAGCTGCGGAATACAAACAGAGATCAGACACGGCCGCCGCCCACAGAGCTGCGGAATAGCGACAGAGATCAGACATGGCCGCCGCCCACAGAGCTGCGGAATAGCGACAGAGATCAGACACGATCGTTCTACAGTCTAGATACATGCACAGACGTTCCACATGCCATTCGTGGCCACCGGCCCTTGACCGGTCACCAGGAAATGGGTCAATCGGGCTCCACTAACGAGCGGAAGCCGGTATGTGTTTGAGTATCGGTAAAACAAAGCCAATACGGGCGACATGAGTCGGAAGTCGGGCACAGGGCGCCGGTAAAAACTGGCCCGGCGGCTGCCGGAGCGGCGCGCGGTACCGACGACGGTGGGAAAACAGGCTGTGCACGGCGGCGGAGCGGCGGCAGGCCGGTCCGGCTTGTGCCGGTCCCGACCTAGCCGGTCACAGGCGCGAGCCGCGCCGGGAACATGCAGGAACACAGACAACAGACTGCTCAATGATGTGATCTGCTATCAGATGTGATCATATGCAGGCAACACCGGCTTTACCTCTAACTAGGATAGTAGGTATTTACTCATTACTGTTTATCGCACATCTGAAGTGGCTTGCTGGATACGTCGTAATAGTAAGAATTACGACGTAAGATGTTTAGAGGTTACAAACTAGCTAACTAGACAGGACGATATTCGTGGTAATCGAGGTGACAGTGATAAGAGTAAGCGCCTTTAATGCTTATCGCCAAGCACGTTAACGTAATCTACATAATGATCAGTAACCATTGCAGCAGGATGGCACAGTCAACAGTAGGTATCCAAATAAACCACTCCGCCCCGCGGATCAGTCGGCCCCCATCCACGCACCTGGAATCTATTGAGGCATCCTCCTTCCAGTGGTTGTAGGAGCTGGATGACGGCTCGGCGCGCCTCATGATGTCGACCATTCACTCTGCAGACACACAGAAACACATCGGGTCGTTATTGTCAGGCAGAGGGGTGTACCAGCTGCAGGCCGGCCTCCTCTCAGCAGGCCCAAGGCCGAGTCGGAGAGGGGGCTTGACGGGGAGGGCTTGGGGGCTCTGTGGTGGTTAGTGCTTAGTAGCGACCTGAGGGGGGCTGGGACATGCCTCATATCACCGCGGTGCTGCTCCCGGGTAGGAATTGAGGATGATATAACGCATTACTCTCTTCTCTCTTCTCGTTTTCTATTTTCTCGATGCCCTTCTCTTCCTCTCATCGCTACTACCCTGCCTCTCTCACACTCTTTCTTTGCCATCTCACTATCTTTCTGAATGAATCAATCGCAGAGCAAACTCATGGCTTAGTCATGGCAAAAAATTAGCCGAAATTAAACAATGTAAGAAAGTCGGTAACCGGACAAAAGATCGTAAAGCAGAAGATCGTATGGCAGAAGATCGTAGGCAGTTGATCGTATGCAAAATATCGTAATGGATAAAGATCGTACGACATAATCCTCGTATGGAAAAAGATCGTATTCGCTAAAGATCGTCAAGGAAAATGATCGTATGCCAAAAAGTCGTAATGGATAAAGATCGTACGACATAATGATCGTATGGACAAAAGATCGTATTCGCTAAAGATCGTCAAGGAAAATGATCGTATGCCAACAAGTCGTAATGGATAAAGATCGTACGACATAATGCTCGTATGGACAAAAGATCGTATTCGCTAAAGATTGTCAAGGAAAATGATCGTACGCCAAATGATCGTATGAGATAAAGATCGTACAGTCAAATCAATTTCTGTGTCCGCGTAGTAAGTGGCCGTCGTAAGCTCGACCATACATACATTGATGCTATTTCAGAGCTTAGATGGCTCAATGACACCTAAAAGCAACGCGTTGTATATGTGCCGAATAAATGAATGTATGTGCTGCCGTTTTCATGTACCTATTTGAAGTGAATACAACTAAACCCATGTCCCCCCCACCCCCCCACCGCCTGTAAGGTTAAAATGTTGCTTAACCCTCGCCCCAGGTAGTCTTTCTGCTCTGCACTTAACATTTTTAGAGCTAGAAGGCTGATTTTTCGTATAGCTGCTCCTATATCCTTTCTTGATGTCCACTTAAAATTTCAAGTTTCTGTGGTTTTTGGTTTCGGAGATATGACCTTGTTTTTCAGGTCATGTCATGACCCAAATGGCCAATTCTCAACATCTTGCGTTGGCTATGGGCCTTGTGAGCTTCTGACACCTTGATTTCGGCCTTTTTTGCCAGTTTTACCTCTCACCTATCATGGAACATATTGTTCGACGATGTACAGATGTCAAGGTCAAGGTCAAGGTCAACCTAGGTCATCTAAGATAATTGCGTTTTAGGCAAGCGGAATTTACTTTTTGTGAAGTTTTTTGACTGCGTTTTTGGTAAAAGCTTCTCAGATCATCATTTCATGTAATATGGACACATAAACCAGTATAACGCCTTTTGGGGCGACTAACGGAGCGAGCGAGGGGGTGAGTCTTGCACGTGCGGAATTTCGAGGGGGTACCTCCAACTGACTTGTGCATGGGCACCCTACTGACCGGTTTCTAGCGATGTGCCAAATTTTAGCACAATCGGCCCAGCCGTTCTCGAGATCTGGGAGCGGCACCCTGCACGTGCGCACGTGCAAAATGGGTCCCAACTGACTTGTGCACGGCACCCTACTAAACGGTCCCTAACTGTGTACCAAATTTGAGCGCCATCGGTCCAGCCGTTCTCGAGATCTGGAAACGACCCCTGCACGTGCGCACGTGCAGCAGCACCCCAACTCTGGCACATGGATATGCAGTGCCTAGTGGGTGCGTAGCTACATGCCAACTTTCAGCGCAATCGGCCAGTAGTTACCGAAATATTGCAACAATTACAAAACTGACACCTCTTCGTTTTGCACGTGGCACGTGCATAACGGGTCACCCACAGCATCGGGAATAGTCCAATGCTTGGTAGAATGAATGAAGCTACCCTACAAAAATTACCGCGTGTAAATCGGTCAAGTGGTTGCTGAGATATAAGCCTCGCAAAAGCGTCCGCACGGCCGGCCGGCCGGCCGGCCGGCCGCTCATACTCAGAAATTTCCGTTAATCTAAGGAAAGACTCCGCTCGCTTCGCTCGCTCCGTAACAATCGGTGCACACATCAGTATACATACACACAGACACACACAGACATACAAACACATAATTGACCTTGACCTAACTTGACCTGAAATGACCTCAGCAGCAAAAACCTGGTCGAGTAGTGTGACAAAGAGGTTCTAGCTGGCTTGGCACCAGAAAATGGCATCGTCATCGGTATATGATAAGCAGCGCACTTCATATCCAGCGGTGACCCAAAACAGCAACATTTTTTAGTTTGACCTGACCTGGAAGGTCAATGACTGACCTGAGAAGGTAAAACTGGGTATCATTGGATTCGTCTCTTCCCAAAGAATCTTTTTGGTCTTTACCTCTAAGCTCTATCTCCAACAGGAACGAAATGGCGCGGGGGGTGGCAACCCCCCCCCCATGTGCGTTCTAGGATGGGAAAATGGCATGTGCGGGCGAGGGTTAAGCGGCTGAAGTAAACGGCGTTAAAAATGCTTTTTCCTTCGCACTGTTACATTTTCATATTGAATCGTCATCGCTTTACGAGTCATCAACAGATGTTTATCGCGTTATCACTATCGAAGTCACAATTCTCCTAGTTATAGGATCCTAGTTTCAATCCAATCCTAGTTATAGGAGTCATTGTTATCGAAGGCCGGTTAAAGACGTCAATTGTCCATCATTGGTTCGAAATCGCCCCAGTAATTACCGAGTTACTGAAATGGGAACAAATTTGGCACCTCTTTTTTTTTGTATTTTGCACGTGCATTGGGGGTCACTCACATAGATCAAGGGTATCCGACCTTTGGTAGAAGGGATGCAGCTACCCTATAAAAATTACCGCAAGACAATCGCTCAAGCCGCTGCTGAGATATGGCCATATGGGCCTCTCAAAATCATTACTTTTGCAAAACTGCTTGAACACCCTTGACTTCTCACGTGGCACGTGCCACGACGGCCACTGAGATGTATCAAAAGTAGTCAATTACGGGGAAGAAGGGATGGGGCTACCCAGCAAAAAAGACCGCAGGCCAATCGGTTCAGCGGTTGCTGAGATATAAGCCTCTCAAAAGCGTTACAGGCCGGGCCGGGCCGGGCCGGGCCGCTCATACTGAGATTTTCCCGTTATATTCAAAAGACTTCGCTTCGCTCGCTGCGCTCGCTCGCTCGTAACAACACTATTCTATACGATTATTTACTTTACGAACGTAACGTTACGATCTTTTGTCGAACGATCTTTTACAACATACGATCTTTATCTTACGATCATTTTCCTACGATCTTTTTTGTACGATCCATTGCTTTACGATCTTTTGCTTACGATCCTTGGTCGTACGATCTTTTGCGGCATACGATATTTATCTTACTATCATTTTCCTACGATCTTTTTCATACGATCAATTGCTTTACGATCTTTTGCTTACGATCTTTTTGTCGTACGATCTTTTACAACATACGATCTTTATCTTACGATCATTTTCGTACGATCTTTTGCATAAGATCAATTGCTTTACGATCTTTTGCTTACGATCTTTTTACCGTACGATCTTTTACAACATACGATCTTTATCTTACGATCATTTTCGTACGATCTTTTGTCTTACGATCTTTTGTCACGTAATCAAGAAAGTCACCGGTAGGTATCAATGGGTCCATTTGAACATGAAATGAAAATATAAGAGTTCACATCGTTGGCGGTGTTCCTCAGCCTCTAGTGACGTTTATCATGATAAACTCAGACCACGCCCGGTCTGTCATTCGGCCGCGCCCGCCTCGTCGGGCGGCCCATGTGAAAGTGGCCGTTTCGACACTGCCCAGTCGCGTTCCGCCGCGCGTACTGCAGGCTCAGCGGCAGTCGCTGCTGCTCCAGCCGGGCTGCTAATGTATTCCCGACCGCGGCGCGCCATGGTCCGTTGGACGCACCGTATTCACCGGCGCGAGCTCAGGACGGTGACAGAGCGACTAGTCCCCGCTGCTGCCGCCGGCACCGGCGCGCATACCAGGCAGGTGACACGGCGAGGGTGCAGTAGGCCGGCCGGACCCGGTGGGCGCGCCCCAGTGCCGAATACCGAGTGACAGAAACACACATACAGCACACAGCGTACACACTGCACACGGCGAACACGGTGGACTGGAGTGTGCAGAGGTTTATTGGAGAGTTGCTCGGGCTTAAAGGTAGTGTGCCAGCTTTCCTGGACCGTATGGAGTTAATGGCCCAGATAAGGAGAACCGGATTTTTAGAACTTATCCATACCTTCAAAACTCATGGAAACGTCTTAAATTCTTCAAATTTTGAGTACCCCAGTGCGAAATTCGCCCCGACGGGTTGTCGGTCGTACCCCAACCACATTTCACACCACTATGAACAATAAATGCACACACTGAAATCGCTATCACCGATATGCTCATCCAATCAAGTTTCGATAAACCCGTTCATCATCATCTCCTGCGGTTTCGAACACGCCTGTTAGGTGGTGCGGTATATAGATGGCCTTGGTGCGGTAGACTGCGCCCAAAGCCAGGGCCCCGGTGACGTGAGGTAGCCGAGTCGGGGCAGCTTGCGCTGACCCAAGCCGGGGCCGCGCGTCCTCCCGTTGTCATGTGATAGCCCGGGGCTGCCCGCGGGGATGCGGTAGACCGCGCCCAAAGCTGCGGCCCCGGCTTGGGTCAGCGCACGCTGCCCCGACTCGGCTACCTCACGTTACCGGGGCCCTGGCTTTGGGCGCGGCTTCTGCTCATACTTTGTGGTGCGGTGGTGGTGCGTCGGGCCGCGCGCTCTGACTTCGGCCAAGAAAAATGCGTCAGCTGATCATTGTCATTTCTGCCACTTGCGTGTGGTGAAATGCGGTCATAACTTAAGAGACGG